CTACCTCTAAACGAGACAAAAGCAGTGCTTTACGCGCCACTCTATGGGCAGCACTGTAGGCGGATCTAGGTACCGCCCTAAACTCTATACAAACAGACAAAGAGCTAAGAATCTGAAGACACTCTCGTAACACCGGACCACCAATCGAGTCTTCTATGACGCCTTGACGAAGTTGTTTGACGACCACTTCGGAATCACCTTCGACTATCACGCGGGTCAAGGATCTTGAGGCTACGATGGAGATAGCATCTCTAAAGGCTAGAAGCTCTGCCAGGAAAGGATTGACTATTCCTTGAAGCTGCAGCCCGAACGCCAACACCACATGCCCGTCTGACCCACGGATAACAAGCCCAGACGAACACACGGTGGCACAAATAGCAGCGTCGAAGTTGATCTTCAAAAATTCTTCTGGAGGAGGGACCCAAGAGGTGGCAGGAAGGTTTGGGAGTAGAAATGCGGGGTGGAGGAGGAAGGAGAAGATAGGAGACTTCGAGGACCTAGTTGTAGAACTGGCTGGCTAGGGAACGGACATGAGGTTGGTAAAATTTGAAAGTCACTTTATTTCTAGACTTCCAGATTCTCCAAAATAAACAAACGCATTGGAGAATGTGGAATGGAGAGGTCTCAGAGACCATGACATGTCGCCACCATAGACTAAAGTTAACAGTCTGGGCGGTCTCAATAAAGTTGCTCAATCCCACTAAAGTCCACAATCTAATGGCTAGGGGGCATCTGAAGAATAAATATTCAATGCTTTCTTGATGTCTCCAGCAGACTGGGCATCGGTTAAGGCAGTTTACTCCACGAGTTTGAAGGGCCGATGTCAACCATAGTCTGAAACGGTTAGAATCCTCCCGTAACTTACGTTTTGGATAGTCAAATGCACATAAACTCATTAAAGTGATGACCATTAAAAGCTTTCTGGCGGAATCCGTTGCCGGCCATGATGTATAATTATCGAATTGACTCAATTGCTGGCCAATCTGTTCTAGTATCGAATTGTTGGATGATTGCATTGATTAGGCCTTGGGAGCATATTTATTTGCGGGAGGCCTTTGAATACGCCCATTATGCTGGCGAAAGAATCTCTTTATTAGAGTTTTAAAACACTCTAGCTCGTCATTAAGGAGACGATTTGAAAGCACAATTAAGGCTTTTCCGGCACTAGCCGTTTCTGGCCATAAATCCTTGTAACCGACTTGAGAAAAAGTGATTACTAAACCCATAAGAGATATACCTGCATGTACCGAGTTGTCGTTAGAAGCACGCAATTAATGGAAACATTAATTAACAAATTCATTATAAAAGGTAAAATTTTGATAAATGCTAATTTGAAAATGAGTAACCCCAATTAATGGAAGGAATAAGTTTGAATTCAATGCATGCGGGCAGAGACATAATTATGTATTTAATATTGAATTCAAAAGGGAAAGACTATGATTTCGGGGCAGTTACCTCAATTAAAGGAATAATAATAGAAAATATCGCCGGCGAAATAAAATCCGATCACCAGAAAAAAATCCGGCAAGGGACAGAGGGCGATCCACCAATCTGTTGGTCACACATGCGAAGATTTCATACCGGGATGAATCTTGCCGGAAGAGGTTTAGAGTCCCTCCGATTCCATGCTTACTCTAGGAGTCCCAATAATAGATTGTCCACTGGGAACAATATAGCCTTGTGGCAAGAATCCGAGTTCCACAGAGGTGAACTATAATATTCAACCCGAAAGATACTAAGATAGTAATACGGATTATGTAAAATTGTTTTGTTCAATTCCCGAGCTGTCTAGCTCATCATTCTTTTTGGATGGTATATACCAATTGAGGATAGGAGCGACGGAATACAAATCTAGGAAAGGCACAGACCTTAGAAGTAAGTACACATAAATAGAAGTATTTACCGGAATCACCGAAGGCAGCGTCGCAGGGGCGGTCTTGGAACCAATGGCAGCAGCTCCGCCATTGCAGAAAACCCCTTCATTCCCTCTTTCAACGAAGAGACAACGGCGACGCCATTTCTGCTCTAACGTGATAGCGCCGGTCTCGTCGAGGATCCCCGACCCACCGGAGGCGAAGTCGACTCCGCGGACTATGCTACCACCGGCGGTGGAAGGGCCCCACCTTCTCTAGAAAGTAGAAGCCCACCGGCGGTGGAAGTGTCATCCTATTCTTGTTACCTTAGAGATATCGAGCATCGGCACACACGTGGCCTTATTTATGTAACCTCATAAGTATTACGCGTCTTTATGAGAGCGCCAACTTACCTTTGTCACCTAAGGAGCATCAAACATTACCAGTAACAACCCAGACAAATGCCTTGATAAGTTTTAACTCGCATACTACTTAATTAGGCATCTTTCCATGCATCATCCCTACTTACGCTATCCCATAATAATTTTGCCATGGTACTGTTCATAAGAATTTTTATTCCCTACCCCAATTTTCACTATAAGCTCTTTCTATATATGGTTCAACCTTTCGTACCGCTAAAATCGCCTACCAATTTTGGTTCGGTATTCAGTATTTTCGGTCTTCTTGATATTTTAACCCTCTCAGCTAGCGCGCTAGGATTTCTTAAGTATTGCTTTTTTTGTATGATGAAAATTCCTCAATTATTAACGATACTGCACACATATCTCATATATCCAATTTCACCATAAACCCTCTTTATATATAGTTTGTTGTTTGACCTCATATTACGAGAGATCTATTAATCAAATGTAGTACTTTCCATAACTTGATTTTATTGTTAGATCACATATATGAAAGATATACATAAAATTATTTATAAGAGATGTGTACATTACAAATACATTATGTAAAGCTTATGGAGGGATAGTTATTTCTTAGTTATCAATTACAAAAAAGTATTACATAAGTGTTTTTACAATGATTAAAACTTTATGTAAAACTAACTTGATTAATTATTAGACCGCACATTAATGAAGAATTGCATAACATTGTTCTATAAGAGATACATACACTCCAAATACATTATATAAACCTTATGGAGGGATAGTTATTCTTAGTTATCAATTACATAAATACGACATAAGTCTTTTGTAATGATTAAAACTCTATGTAAAACTAACTTAATTTCATTATTAGACCACATTTTACATAGTATTTATACACAACAACATTATTTAATAGTTACATAAATCACAAAAATATCACATAAAACTTACTAAGGGATAGTTATTTCTAATGTATCATTTGAACAAGCTTATGATGTAATTCATTCTCACTGATACAGACACTACGTAAAACTTTGTGGATTTAACTTATCCGATTTTTGAGAATGATTTGATTTCAACTAAATAAATTTACAAATGAATAAAATTTTAAATATTATTATTTTCTTGCCGCTGCGAAGCGCAGGCCAAAAAACTAGTAAGTATTATAGACCCTTATGCCTCAACCTTCAAATGACAGACTAATGACACATAACGAGTATTGGGAATCACTAGTAACATCTCCAGCAACGAAGAAACACAATTAACCTAATGATGTAATGATTTGGAGACTTGATTCCATGCTGGATGATATTTATCTTTCATTTCTCATTGAAAGTGGTAGATCAATACGTTAATTTATCCGTTGGAATAGTGAACAAGAGCTTGGTCTATTGGTTCTATCATTAATTTTCAGTTTGGAGTAATAATGCTCGAATACTTTAAGTAGCACTAGGACTGTCAGTTTGGTTTGATTAACCAAGCTATTAAGCATGAAAAACCGAAAACCAAATTAGAATTGAATTATAAAAATCAAAACCATTAAGACCTTATCGGTTATTGGTTAACCAAAAACTAATAAGTCTCTTCATGTTGTTGGTTTGGTTTGGATAAACCAAAAACAAACCCGTAGTTTGGGAAGTCCAAAAATAGAGTAAGAAAGGACAACAAAAGCATCAAGATTGACAAGAATCCAGTACACATAAGTTGGTAACATCCGATGTTGTTGACGAGTAATGACTTAGTTGGGGAGCTATCGATTTTTTTTTTATTGGTTTTTCGCTATTGCACCGAGACTTCCCTAGTTACTTACTACTAGCTAGCATACTCATCATCACCCTTCTAAGTTGTGGAACAATTTGGTGATCATGACAGAATGCTTGTGACTCTACTAATAGAAGCTTATGAAGTGAGCACAAAGTTGGGACTTAGCATGGAACGCTTCCGATAAAAAACAATCAATTTTGGATTAACCCAAGGCCAAACGGAATCTCCACCCCCGGCCAAAATTTGCGAGCAGAGACTTGAAACGGTCCACTGGATCATGCGCACGATGCCCGGGTTTTCCAAACAGTCCGTCCAGCAAATACATATGCACTATGCTACAACCATCGCCGGTCGGTCACGGGAGTACTAATACAAAATTAGACCGTTGGAAGCCTAAGAAAATTTGCCGTAAAACAACAACCAAGAAAAGAATTCTCTGCTGCCCCCACCACCACCAGCACCGTCACACCTCATTTCCCCTTTTCCTCCATGCTCTGTTTTCACGACTCATTCGTCGTAAAAGCATTACCAAAAAACTTTAACAAATCTGTCCCTTTGATGTGTTGTTGTATGATAGCTATCTTTCCGACGAGAAATAATACCAATCTCTTTTCCCATATCTGAGCAAGCAAACTGCAAAAGCAATAGAGGTCGTTTTCTCCTTCCACCGTACTCCATCCTTTTCATCCCCAAATTAATCTTCCCCATAAGTTAACAGAACGGACTGAAAGGTAAAGAAGCACATGAGAGAGAGAGAGTGAGTCAGTGAGTGTGTTGAAGATCTGGCCATCTGGGATTACACGTTGTTTCTTAATACAATTATTATTGATCGAGAAAGAGAGAGATTAGTTAGTAGTGGTATTCTTCTGACAGTAGAAGAAGACACCAAAATACCCTCCAACAGTCGGAAAAGCAGGGGAGAGGGTAGAAAGAAGAAGAAAACAAAAGAAAAGGGCCGAAAAACGCTCATTATACACACAGACTTGGACAGAGCCCTCTTCTTTCTCTAATTTGCGCTTTTCATTAAACAAAACGTTCACATTCGCTCCACCCAAGAAAGTTGAGTTGAGCCAGAATCTTTTGCCTTCCACCCTTCTCTCCCTTCCTATTATCTTCTTCACCCACTTCAGTCTTCTATGCTCTGCCTTCACCTCTCACAGTCCACTCCAGCCAGCTATTTAATACACTGGGGAGAAGATATCTTTTTGCTCCTCCCCATAAAAGAAGCGCTTACTTTACCAGTTTTACCTTCTCATTAGCATCTTACGCCACAAGACTGCAACTGCAAACCCTCACTGCTTCGCTGCTCTTCCCTTTCTTCTTCTTCGCCTCCTCCAACCCAATGGAGGCGCATTAATGGCAGCTCAGCTTCTCACCCAATTCCCCAACTGAGCCAAAGTTTGGAACTTGACCCACTGGGGCATACGGGTTGCTAAAGAGTCCAAGTGGGTCCCTGCGGATTCTCAGATTTCAGCAACGGCGGAAAGCGGGGTAAAAGCTGAAAATTTTGGGTCTTGCTTCGCCGCTTCTCTTCTTCTGGGTCGATTTGGTGGCTTCTGTGTTCTCTGGGTTGGTTCGTTTGTAAATGGAAGGCATTCGCTTGGCCCAACTAGCGGTGGTGCTCTGGTTAGCAATTTTGGCGGTGGGTCAGAATGAATCGAGAGAGGAAGGTCCTACGACGGCGGTTTACATTGTCACCCTTAACCAATCTCCTACTTCTGTTCATCACTATGGAGACCTCAAGAGCGATACCAATGTGTTGAGGAACAAAGCTGCCGGGAAACGCGGTGGATTCCAGAAGCCAAAGTACAGATTTCCTTCATTCTCCCCTTTTGTTTGCTTTCAAATCCCCTGGCATTGCATCTCTCTTCTGGTTAAGAATCTTTCTTGCGTATTATTATATTTCCTTTTTTCCCTCGAGAAGGTTTACATTTTCTTGACCGCTAATGAGAGGTGATGTGGTTGACCGACCGTTAGAATATTTCAGCTATTTGGCGATTCGCGGGTCCTTGAGAGGCTGAGAGGGATCTGTTCTTGTTTTTTTTTTATTTTTTATAAAAATTTCTGTTTGTTTCTTTGCTATTTTGTTCCCATTCCCTGTCGGGTTTCGGCCAGTTACCGTTGGAGATTTGGAGTCTGAATGGATAGAAGCAGCTCCCTAATTGTTGCATCGTAGTGTGTTTAATTATTTGCTCATAATTGACCACCGACGAATTGGTACCACTACTCAGATTGACTGACTCTCTGGAAGCTTTCCTGGTTAATTATCTCAAGTCTTGTTGCAGAAAGTTGTCGCTTTTGAGGGACAACACACCTTGAACAGCCAAAACTCTGCCCATTTTCTGATCCTTTTGCTCCATGTTCATTACACATAGGAATAATTCAAGACGAGGTGAGACTCCTGGATCCTACATTGCTCGCGTCCATGATTCGTTATTGAGGAGAGCTTTGCGAGGGGAGAAATATCTGAAGCTCTATAGCTATCACTACTTGGTTAATGGGTTTGCTGTATTTGTCACCCCACAGCAGGTAAAAGGGAAAGAACAAATCTTCTCCCTTTTTTGACCTTTGTTTCAATGTTCATGACCATGCCTCATGATTGTGTTGGTTAAAAAGGCTAGAAAGGCTTCTTTATATATGCTGCTGTCATGACTAGTACATGTGATAGTTTTGCTTTACTAGACACTTTTTGGGGCTTGATTTCTGGTAAGTTGTGTGGAATTGATGAACATTGTTTGGATTTTTTCGAAGGCGGACAAGCTTTCAACGAGGAAGGAAGTGGCAAATGTGGTATTGGATTACTCTGTTAGGACAGCAACCACTCACACTCCACAGTTTTTGGGACTGCCACAAGGTGCATGGGCCAAGCAAGGTGGATATCAGAGTGCTGGTGAAGGAATTGTAATTGGGTTCATTGATACGGGCATTGATCCTACTCACCCTAGTTTTGATGATGGTAATGCATCCGAGCATTCCTATCCGGTGCCTAGCCATTTTTCGGGTGTTTGTGAGGTCACCAGAGATTTCCCTTCGGGTTCATGCAATAGGAAGCTCGTTGGTGCTCGTCACTTCGCAGCATCTGCCATCACCAGGGGAATTTTTAACTCAACTCAGGATTATGCTTCACCATTTGATGGTGATGGTCATGGAACGTAAGTGTATTGTACTGCCACCAAACTTCTCTATTTCTTACGATATTCTACTAATTTTGCTGATAATGCTGTCATTTTTGGTGATTTGCAGGCATACAGCCTCTGTTGCTGCAGGAAACCATGGGATTCCAGTCGTAGTTTCTGGTCATCACTTTGGACATGCCAGTGGGATGGCTCCTCGTGCACAGTAATAATTACTTGCGGTTTTCTTTACCTTTTAGCTGTGGAATTACCTCATTCATAAGAATAAATAAAACAGGATTGCAACTCATTTTGTATCTTTTGGTAAACTAGTCTGACTCTTTTGTACTGAATTCTATATTCTTATCAGTGTTGCTGTTTACAAGGCACTCTATAAGAGTTTTGGAGGATTTGCTGCTGATGTCGTTGCTGCAATAGACCAGGTACAATGAGTTACTTGTTTCATGTTCTGGCCAAGTATGTGCCATCATAAGTTTGTCAATCACTTGTTTGAAACCGTGAGTGCTGTTCTTCTACAGGCGGCGCAGGATGGGGTTGACATCATAAGCTTATCGATCACACCAAACAGGCGTCCACCTGGAATTGCTACATTCTTCAATCCAATTGATATGGCCTTGCTTTCAGCAGTGAAGGCTGGTATTTTTGTTGTGCAAGCAGCAGGTAATACTGGACCTTCACCCAAGAGCATGTCTTCCTTCAGTCCATGGATATTTACTGTTGGTGCAGCTTCTCACGACCGAGTCTACTCCAACTCCATAACCCTTGGCAACAATGTCACCGTTCATGGTGTCGGTCTTGCACGTAAGTCATTTCATAAGAAGTTTAGAATTAGTGCATCAAATAGATAGATGAGATGACTTAGAAATCTACTTTTTTTCATTTCTTGTTGCCAGCTGGAACAGAGGAAGGCACCATGTACACATTGGTTTCAGCACTTCATGCATTGAACAATGGGACGACTGTCACATCTGATATGTATGTGGGTGAATGCCAAGACTCTAGTAGCTTCAATGAAGAGATTGTGCAAGGGAACCTGTTGATCTGTAGTTACTCGATTAGATTCGTGCTGGGTCTCTCCACCATCAAACAAGCCTTGGAAACAGCCCAGAATCTTAGTGCAGCCGGTGTTGTGTTCTGCATGGATCCTTTTGTTATTGGCTTTCAGCTTAATCCAATTCCCATGAGTATCCCTGGTATCGTGATCCCAACCTCCGATGATTCCAAGGTGAGTAGAGTAACCAACAATGCTTCTCTTCCATCCTAACATACTTAAAAAGTGGTGCAGAGATTTAACTTGTCTGAAAACCATTGAATGATGCAGATATTGCTTCAGTACTACAATTCTTCGGTAGAGAGGGAGAATGGTGCAGGCAAGATAGTTAAGTTTGGAGCAACTGCTAGCATTATGGGAGGGCTGAAGGCCAACTATAGTAATTCTGCCCCAAAAGTGATGTTCTACTCAGCAAGAGGACCAGATCCTGAAGACAGCTCTCTTAATGATGCTGATATTCTTAAACCAAATTTGGTGGCTCCTGGAAACTCTATATGGGCTGCTTGGAGTTCTCTAGGCACAGACTCGGTTGAATTCCAAGGTAATCACGCTAATAGAACATGAAAAGCAGCATGTTTCAGAACAACAAACTAAGAAACAATTATTATCGCTCTATGCATTATTCACTTGAAAACGAAGCATATTATTCATTTCAGGTGAGCAGTTTGCAATAATGTCCGGAACAAGCATGGCTGCTCCTCACATCGCTGGGCTTGCTGCACTCATCAAGCAAAAGTACCCAGCTTTCAGCCCTTCAGCAATAGCTTCAGCACTCTCCACCACAGCTTCTCTAACTGACAAGAATGGTGGTGCCATAATGGCTCAACGAGCATATTCAAACCCAGATGTGAATCAGTCCCCAGCAACCCCATTTGATATGGGCAGTGGTTTTGTGAATGCCACAGCTGCTCTTGACCCCGGTTTGATCTTCGACACCAGTAAGTCTGCTCTACTACTTTCCCAATCTTAGCTCAGTCTCTCCAACAATTCACAAAATGATACAACTTCAATCTCAATTTTGATGACGTTCCTTTCAAACTCTCAGGCTACCAAGACTACATGTCGTTCATTTGCGGGATCAATGGGTCTGGACCAGTGGTGATGAACTTCACTGGGGAAAACTGCTGGATGTACAACTCCACCATAACTGCTGCTGATCTTAACCTTCCTTCGATCACCATAGCGAAGCTCGATCAGGCGAGAACCGTGGTGAGATCAGTGAGCAATGTGGGTGGTGGCAACGAGAGCTATGCAGTGGGTTGGAGTGCGCCGTATGGGGTGGCCGTGAAGGTGTCGCCAACTCACTTCACCATTGGGAGCAATGAGAAGCAAGTGCTGACTGTTTCCTTGACAGCAACCATGAACAGCTCGGTTTCCAGCTACGGGAGGATCGGGCTGTTTGGGGATCAAGGCCATGTCATCAACATTCCTCTAGCTGTGATTGGTAAAACCTCGTATAATACCACTACTACTGCAGCAGCACCGTGAACAGGAAGGAGCTGATGAATGAAAAAGGGTGTTTCTTTGGTTGATGTGGTGAGTGTGGATTTTGGTAACTATTGTGCATGGGGCTTTTGTGCGGGGGGAATTTGAGTTTTGAGAGATGAGATTGTGATAAGAGGACAAAGTGAGCAATTTTTTGATTCGTTTCAATCAGATGATCATTGTAAAAATGCGAGAGACAGTTTCTGATGTAGTTACCACCATGTATACTATCACATTATTTATATTATAATATATTTGTACCATCATGTTACATTCTCCATCGTATCATCAAGATCTACTCTTCTATACCACTAAACTCTACCACCGTGATATATTCTAATAAAAATTGCCTTGAGCACGGTGTAAATTTTCCCCAAAATGGATGTCATTTGCAAAGAATAATTAATATAATTTTTTTATAAAAATTAAAATTGAAACCAATAAAATATGGGTTAGGTAATTAATTACCGAAAAACAATTATGGGTTAGGTTATATAATACAAAACCCTCTATTATTTAGTACTACAAACCCCATATGTAAGGATTTTGATCTAATTAAAGAGATGAGGAGAAAAGGTAGAGATAGCGCAACCTCTTCAATGTCTTGTCTGAAGTTGTTGTAATTTAATTTTGTATTTTGACTTTTTGAGTCTGAGAGGAGTGTTGTTTAATTTTGTATTTGTTCTACCTCTTGACACATGTTTAAAATAATAATTCAATTCAAACTCCTACTCAATATATATATCTTCAAGTAAAATCCAAACCAGTATAATCCTACTAGGGATGACAACTTTGCCCATACCCATGGGTTTCTTACTATCCAACCCAATTGGGTTGGGTATGAAATCCAAATAAATGGATATGGGTAGAATTTGATGAGTTTGTACACATACCCATTTACTTTGGGTTGAGTTGGGTTTATATCAAATGGATTTGTAGCCATAACCAAATACAAATTACAGTTTGGTACCCAAACTTAATGTATGCGCATATTTAGTACCTAAATTTAATTTTTTTGCATATAAGTCCTCAAAATATCGATGGAAAATTACCTTTTGCTACCTAAATTTTTTTGGTCTTACATTTTGGTACCTAAACTTTTCAAGTTTTACAAATAGGTCCGATTTTTTGCTTGTGTAGTTAAAACACCCTCAAGTAAATGGATATCCATATCCAACCCATACCCATTTATATTATGGAAGCCCCAAACCCAAACTCATTTATAAACCCTCAAATTCATATGCACTTTACCCATACCAAACCCATTATCAATGGGTCTACTTGGGTTTGGGTATAATTACCCATGGGTGGATAATTTGCCATCCCTACCTACCACTTCATGAGTTCAGTAGAGAGTCTGTTAAGATGTATCGAAAGATTAGGTTCTTGAGTTCATTAAAACTTATGGACCTCCTACATTAATTTGAGCACTAACTTCACTGTTTACTCTGAGAGTCAGACATGAGACTTCAATTGCATTGCATTGCACCAAACCAAACACACAAAGAAAGATTAATCCGCTCCCAATTGCGGACTATATATATATACCTGAGCAATCCGTTGCAGTATCTCTCACATTTCATATACAATACAAAATTTTAGCCTTTTTTCCCCTTTCAATCAAGATGACAAAGATTTCCGCCGTGCTGGTGCTGCTGATTGTGGTGGCCGGAGAGCTAGTAGTGGACGCTGGCCGGTTGCTTCAGGAATCGAAGCCGGGCGATGGCAAATTTGGAGCAGAGGCGAACGCCATATTCCCCTTCTTTGCTCCGCTCCCCAAGCTGCCTCCGCTGCCGAGCATACTCCCGCCACCGGTGCCACTCCCTCCGCTCCCCAAGCTGCCTCCGCTGCCGAGCATACTCCCGCCGCCGGTGCCACTCCCTCCGCTCCCCAAGCTGCCGACCATCCCGCCCATTGGCGTCCGTTTTCCTTCCCCTCCTTCCAACTGATAAAGACAGCTCAGCACAATGTAAGAAGCGATGAATAAGAAGACTGCCAGCAAATAAAAGAACTAGACATTACTATTACTATTCTATTAGTGACGAATAAGTGAAGAATGCTCCGGCCGGGGAAGAGCAACTATAGCTATATATTACTCTCTCCGTTGCTTTAGATAATACTTCTGTTACGTTTTAACCGCTTGAGTTGTTTTTTTTTTTCATTAGGTACCCTTTGCTAGTCTGTGAGGGAATCAATGAGAAATTAAATTAGAGATATTATTAATAAATTGGCGGTGACCCAGTGTTTTATCTTTATTTATTGATCAGCTCTGTTTTCCTCGACTTGATTGCTAGAGCTAGCTAGTTACACGACTTAATCGATCATCAGCCAAATTCCGTGCACTGCATTTTCAGCTTCAGAACGGCTACTTTTGGGGTGGACATTGAGCGGTTCGAGTGGGTTCGGTTTCAAATATATTCATCGGTTTGGTAATAAGTTGGTATATTATTATTCATCATCATGCACACACATTCTTATTTGTGTTGGGTTGGTTGAATGGGGAATGAGTGTATTTGAGTTATGGGTAGATCTGCAAAAGTAAATTCTCTACTAGTTATTAAGTAAGTTGACTAACATTTTGATAAATTATGAATATTATAACAATTTAGGCATCTATCACTTTGTCTCTCCGTGGATCCCCACTAGTACTTATGACGTGCAAAGTTTTCTGTTATGTACTCGTATCAAGTTTTCGTTTGGGCATTTTAAATGAAGTGTTCGTTGATAGAGAAAAAGAAATTGACTAATTATAAACCACATATCGATAGAGATCAAGGCTAATTAGACATGCGGATTTCTCTTCTCCAACAAACAAATGTATCCAATATTTCATTTCCTCAACCAATTGTAGAGAAAATTGACGCTTTTTACGACTATGATACAATTTATTGTTTGTAATTTGCATCTCGACCTCTAATGTACATTACATAATATAATAATCTATAGTATTAGTTTGCAAATATTCTTTGGGATTTTGCTACGGTGACATGCATGTCACCGTAACATGGACTTTTTGATCGACCTAATTCTAAAGGAGGTCGACCGAATGTGTTGTTTCAGTTATGTTAGGTTCAACGACGCGATCGACTGTCTATATAAAATGGTCGACCTCTATGGGGGTCGAACAGAATGAAAGGTCGACCCAAATACCTCATAGGCCGACCCTTTTGCACCTAATAGGTCGACCTCATCCGTATGAGGTCGATCGCATGCACACCGTATTCGTATTGGGTTAGGATTCCAACACCAGAAAGGTTCCACAATTGGACAAGAAAACAAATTGGGTCGACCCATTCACGTTCTAAAGTTCTATAAATACGAATATATGTCCCCCTTCAACGCCACCAAAACTCTGAATTAGGTTTTTCCCCGATTTAGAGTCTTTATGAAGAAGATCGTTCGTGGTTGCTGTTGTACATGTTGAAAGTGGTCGACCATGTCGAAGGCGAGGTCGACCTAATGTAGCATTCGTCGTCATCTTCTCTAATGCGTGATTTCCACCGACTAATTTGATATATTGTTGCGTGCAGAATACCATTCGGTCGACTCTTATCTCAATTAGGTCTACATGACGAGACAATTGTTCAACATTAAATGTAGGGCACAACAATTGGAATTCCGTACTTGCGAAGTAACGAAGATCAACCCAATAGGTCGACCTAATGTTTTTCAAGGTCGACCGTTTCTGTATGTTTTGGTTGTTCAACCTGAATGTCGACTTTGGCTTTGTTTGTAAGACTATGTTGGTGAATTGGTCGACCTATCCGTTTTTTGGTTTAATATTACACTTGTTGTTGTTGGTGAATTGTTATTTTTCTGCAGAATAGTTCGACCTAGGAAGAGTAGAGGTCGACCTTAAAGGTTCTGGTAGTCACAATTTGTCTTCAAGGTCGACCTAATAATTTGTCAGGTGGATCACGTCTCTGTTTTTGGTCAATTGTAAAAATTTGAAGTTGAATCCTGATTTGATTTTTCTTTAAAATGTTTAGATGATGACGCATGATGAAAGACTGCATCAAGATTTTGGTGAAATCATGAAAGTGTTGAAAGCCACACAAGAGCAGTTGGTGGTGTGTCAAAAACAAGTTAATGACTATCAGAAGTCCATTCGTCATAGAGTGGAGCAATTGTCAGTTCGATTGACAGATATGACTGGGATGATGCATGATGGTTTTGAGAGGTTAGAAGGTGCTATCAAAGAAATAAGTGCAGAACGAATGGAGAATGGAGGAAGAGATGGTACAAGAAAGAAATTTGAATTTGATAAAGAGGAGGAAGACCATGATAACTCTGCAAATTGGTACTAGTGCATAGACGATTTATTGAAAGAGCACAATTTAAAGGTAGACAAGTATATTCATATGTGAGTGAATATATTAGTATTACTATCATTAGTGCTAATTTGTTTTGTTTATATGTTTGATAGAGTGAAACAACGTTTGGCAGCAAGGATTTCTCTCCTAAGTACAAGAGACCTCGATATGAAAGTGACTCCTGCACCACTCCACAGAAGGATCATTTTGTAAGAAGAGGATTATTTAGTGCTGAAAGCGACGAAGATGAATCTAAGAGTCATTTCGAAAAGCATGGAGGAAGTTTACGTTACATATTCATCTATAATGTTTGTTTGTGTTCATATGTTACTTTAATTTTAACTAAGATTTGTAGGTCATGAAAGTGGAGGGCCTAGAAGGATTCACCAAAAATGTGCAAAATCCAGTTGAAGACTTGTATTATGTTGTTACTAAAGAGAAGGCTAGAGACACGTATTGGGACAAGTAAGAGACGTTTTTTTAAGTAGTACATGTGGTCGACCGTTTAGTACATGAGGTCGACTGTTTAGCCAACAAGGTCGACCTTGACTGTGAACAGGTCGACCTATACGTTTAGAATTACAATTGACATTTCTGTTATTTTGATTTTTGTAGATTAACCGTTGTTGAATTTTTTTATGAAAACATGCAACAAAATTATTTGAGTTCGGTCATTAGCGAGAGTAGTTGGATTTGCTCATCCGTAAGTACTATACTGCCACAACTTTCGTATGAATTGTGCACTATTTATGTTACGATTTACGAGGATTTTGTGTTTGATTTTTGGTTGGTAGGTAGTGGATTTGTGTGCAAGGGCACTAACAATGTCTGAAAAACATGATGTGAAGGAGCCAAATGTGTGGTATTTGCCAAATATGTTTTCGGTAAGAGCCGTAATGTTTATTTATTTTTCATAACCTAGTTATTAATATTATACCATGTCAATTCATTACAATTAAAATATGATGCAGAAAATGGTATGCGCTAACATGAAGACCAGACAAATTCGTAACAAGTTGATGGATGATGGTCTGGTGTTTGTGCCGAATGTTAGTGCATGCCAGAAGGCTAGTCAATGTCCCTATCTCATTAAATTTCGAAAGTGTATTTGTTTGTCTTCCTTTTTATAACATATAGTGAATGTTTCGTTGCTAGATATTTATGTCAGTTCTTGACGATGAAGCACGTCATTGGTTTCTGTATCTTGTCAATGTCCAGCAAAAAACTGCATTTTTGCTTGAAAGTCTACCTTCAACTAGTGAGGCGAATCGTAAGCGTAAATCAGCCCTATGCACGAAATTGGTAAGTATTTCATATAGTTTTCTGACTACTAAGTGTCACATATTATGGTAGAAGCATGATATTTTCAAACTGGAGCGCATGAGCAATGTTGTAGTACCAAATTTTAGAGATTTCAATTTTAAAGAGCTACGAGTTCAAGGGCAAATGAATAGTACCGAGTGTGGTGTGCACGTCATGCAGTGGATGCGCTATGGATCCAAGGATCTGGATAGAGTGGTTAGTATATCGTCAAACAAATAACTTGTTTAATTTGTACTTTTTTTAGTTCTAACGAAGTCTTACATGCCATAATGCAGATAGGAGAAGAACACAAATTACCGGCTCGAAAGGAGATTCTATGGTATATGGCTACACATTTTGAAAACCGTGCACGAGAAAATCTTTTCAAGCATGTAGTAGAGGAATTCATGGAACGAGGCAAAGAGAGAAAGAGTTCAAACAAAAAATCAAAGAAATGAAGTCATTAAGTTACAATGTTGCATTATTTAGACAATACGTTGAATTTGTATTTGCGAGGTTGTTTCCTTTTGGATTTTGAATGTTTTTCGTTTATTAGATTTGTTATACAATTATGGATGTCAAGGAATTTACGATTTCAATCGTCTAGAACAAGTGGTCGACCACATACTCAAAGCGGTCAACTCCGTAGGCAGAGCACAGGTTGACCTCGTGATGCTTAAGGTCGATCTATGATACAGTAGCAAAGTCCTAAACAATGTGGAATAAGGATGGAGTCCCGCCTGTTTCTCCTTTATAAAAAACGGTCGACCTTTCGTGTAAAGAGGTCGACCTAAATGGGTCGGATTAGCTTTTTACTTACTTCTCCTTGTCTAATTAGGATTTTGCGTACTTGTCATTGTCGAATTGTGATTTTATATATCCCTCACCAATTGGGATAGATGGAAGTCTTAAGACTTTATTCGTACTTCGATTTATGCAATTTGTTGAAGTGAAGTTGTAATCTCATCGCTCTTATTGTGATCGTGTGTTGGTGGCGGTTTATTCTTATTCCGGTAGACCGTATCCATAAGTGGTCGACCTTATTTGCTAAGGTATGTGTCGTGTGTGCAGGTTAAAGGTTCTCTGTGGTTCACTTTTTCCCTAATTAAGTCGACCATCTCAACTTTGCGGTCGACCCTATCTGTGTAATTATGTGATGAGGTCGACCATACAGTGGATCCTGGTCGACCTCAGCTGTGTAATTTGGTGATAAGGTTGACAATACAGTTTGATCCAGGTTGACCCGACGAGAGCTTATTTTGTATGTATTTGACATTCAATTCGTATTCTGATCATTGCAGGATGGATAATAGAGATGAAACAAATGATAGAGATGCTGACGAGATTAACTTCGATGAGGAATCTAATGATGCTCGAGGAGGATCTATGGATAGTCTAGATGATACAGATGATACAGATGATGAAGTGATTGGGGATGATAAGGAAACGGAGGGTGCTGAAGAAGAATTTATGGATGATGAAGAAGCTACTGAATATGAACAACAAATTCCTTCAATGGAGTTCCAAACAATAGAAGATGTAGAGAAATTTTATGATGCCTATGCTAAAGCGAAAGGGTTTAGCGTTCGACGGAGAGATCTTCGGAGGAGTCGTCGAGGAGTAGCAATTGGGAGGTCAATGGTATGTTCGAGAGAGGGGAATAGACATAAGATGCATATAGATAAAGAAGGTTGGACACGGCAACATCGTAAGATGACAAGACATTCTTGCAAGGCATCATATACTGTACGCTTTGATGGGAATAAGAAAATGTGGGTTGTTTCTAAGTTCGAGAGGGAGCACTCACATCGTTGCTGCAATGAAGAAGAAACTCAA